TAGATGGTAGACCTCTGTTCTGTTTAATTTTATAGTAATGTCAATTTATGTCTTTGGCATTTAAGGTTGATATGACATTTTTAAAGTCTTCTTCTTCTTGTTTAGTATTAATTTTAAATTGGTTATTGCTTAGAGCTGTGGCTTGAAAGAATATATTATTTTCTGCCAGTGTATGGCGCAATTCTTCATACTTATTGATGTTGCTTGCTATTATCGGGGGAATTTTCACTGTTTCTTTCTCTTGTAGATTTTAGTTACATCCAGGTTGGCCAATAGTAGTGGTTTCTGAAGGGGAGTTGACTTTTCGTTTTTATCTTCTATTGTTTCTGCTTTCTCCTGTTATCTATTCTACTTCTTTGTTTATTTAATCGCCGATTTATTTTGCCAGTTCTTCTTCATCAGTCTCATAATTCGTTAGACTTTTAGATTTTTCTTTGTTTAAGGTATTAATTTGTTTTTGCATATTTTCCATGTGGTTTTGCATTTGTTTTTCCTATATCCAAGCATTGTTCAATGCCTGTTCTTTCTGACTTCTAGATAGCTTCCTGAAATAAGGCTTGATATTTTTGGGCTATGAGATTTTCTCCTACTTCCAATTTTTTTCATATTCTTTGTTTGATTTACGTGAATCAGGTACTGGTTTTTGTTCCAAAAGCACTTGAGCAGGTTTCGATTCTGTGTTTTATTTTTGTTCTACACATTGTAAAACTATTTGTTTATTTTTGTTCTTAAACATTACGTTTAGCAATCAAACGAAACTGACCTAGTTACGGAGTAATGTTAATAAACATACGTCCTCACTTATCTACAGCCGAATATAAACTTATGATGAATGGTAGTACAATAGGCCATATGCGCTTCAGTGCCGCCATGCGAACCCCAGGAGAAGGGAAAGCAGACTGAAACCTAAGCCTGATTAAAGGAAGCCAATTGCTGGACCTAAGCCTGATTGGGGGGGGGGGGGGTTCTGAAGAATTCCTCAGAGGGGGAACAGAGGGGTGCCTGAAAGGATAAAAAACTTTAACACCCTGTAACTCAGAAACGAAACAACTCCAGACATATGTTCATACGAACTTTTTTTCATAAAACGACCTAAGGAATCATCTTCTGAAGTTTCGTACCGTAGTTAGAAAACACCCTGTATATTGGGTGTTCCAATAAGAGGTTTCGGATGTCCTAATTACATAGAAAGGAAAACAAATAAGAAAATTTAAGACTTTATAGCAATAGGTAACATAATCGTTTACAATTGTAGGTGAAAGACAGTATCGACCAGTGGCGTAGCCACGGGGGGGTATCAGAACCCCCCATGAAGGCGTTCGCGTCACCGCACATACGGCAATTACCGGGAATTAGCGTGCCAAAAATAGTTGTATTTTCCAAAGTAATTTTTTTTATAGATTTAGTTGAAATATCAATGTAAGTGGTAGAATAGAGTGCCAGGGTGTCACATTTCACATAAGAATGCATAAAAAATGGTTTATAAATTAAATTCTTATTTAATTATTTAATTAAGGCGCCAAGTTTTAATTATTTATAATAACAGTACTAAAATACGTTAAAATAATCCAGATACATTTTAAGAACGTTTTACATCAATATTTTATTAATTACCTGAAATACAAGTATTGTACAGAAATTAGTTTTTTATTCGGAATTATCACTGTCACTATCTAGATTTATATCACTATATACCCAATCTAAACTATTATTTAAAAAAGTCGGAATATCTAACATACTTAGTACATCTTCTGAAAAGGGTTTATTTCGCTTGTTTTTTATTTGTCGGAAAGATGTAATCACGGGGTCTGACGACAGTAGCATTCTATTCATTATGTCTCTGTTCGTTTCTAATATGGATGTCTTCCGTGAGTGATGCAAACTTATATTTTTATATTCTTTATGACTTGCCTGTAGTACGTCTTCCGACAACTGTCCGACAGGGAGTGACAAATAGCTGATAATATAACTACCGTGAATCAATATGTTATGCACTGTAGCACTCATTTTGTACCACCCATATAAATAAACGCGCATCCTGGCGGTCTCCAAGCAGTATTCTTTAAATGTAGGTATATTGATATAATGACAACTAGACAAGACTGAAAGGATATTTGCAAATCTCACAATTAAATTTGGGTCTAGTCCAGTAATGGTAGCAACTTTATCTGGATTGCAGAAAAAATGGCGAGCTGTGTTTCCGTCATTTGAATTACCACCACCTTGTTTGGGTTGGTCCACAACTAGGCCCATTTCGTGGTAAAAGCTGGTAGTAATTTGATTTTTTCTTTCTTTTATTTTCTGTTTTTCTTCTGGTCCTAGGGCTTGCCATTTTTGTAATTCTAGTTTGTAAGGAATGTCCAATAAATACTCGTAACATCTCAGATATGCATGTAAAACCTATACTTCAAATTGATATTTGGATTCATCGCATTCTCTATAAATTACGTTGTCCAAATCGTTAATATCTTTGGGTGTTACCCTACAAACATTACATGACTGTGTAGATGTAGTGTTGGTAAGTACATTACGCGTTTTACCGTTAAGCATGGTGAAAATAACTAATGATAGAAATTTATTTCTCTCTGGTCACTTAGAGCGATTGTGGTCGATCTGAGTACCGCGATCTGAAATTTAATATTATCATACTCTTCTTTCATTGATTTATCGCATTCCTTTTTCAGAACAAATTTAATTGGGCGACAATTTGATATTGAGGATGTTCTCATATTTTTCCAAAATACCAACTTTCCACCTTCATAGTCAATTGAGATTTCTAGTGGCACTAGTGTACACAAAATCACATTAGAATCTGCATACAGTGCGTTATTGCAGAAATTTTGCTTATAAAGGCTGTGTCCGCCACTATCATCTAAACCCCACTTATACATCATACTGATATCTTTAATATCTTCTGGAATACTCAGTAAAACTTCCGATTGTACTTGGGCTAAACGTTTGATAGTTAGGTCCACCAGATCTTGAACCGGTATATGCGCCTCAGTCTCCGTTATTGTGATGGCCGGGTAACATGTCTTTTTGACGTGACCAATTATAACATAACTTGGATATATATTTGCTTGTTTCTTTTTCGCTCCTCTTTGGAATCTTATATAATCATCTTCGCTTAAACTACAGTCTACGATTAGAGCTAATGCTTATTCCTGGAGTGTACTTGGATGACAAAGAAGACGAATTATGAATTTCTTTAAATTTTTTCTTTGTGTGCGGAGAAGAGTTTATAGCTAATTTCACTATTTGCGCCGAAGTTCTCTCTCCACTTTTGAACAGACTCATTTCTGCAGTTTTGCAAAGTATTTCCTTGGATATGCTTGACACAAGAGGTTCTATTTTTCTTAACTTCGACCGAACAGAGCTCTTCTCGAATGATTTTTTTGGTCTTCCACGTTTTTGATCATTTCTTACTTCTTCTGCTATGGGTGTTGCAGAGATATTAGAGTCCAATATAGGAATTATTATCTTTCTATCTAGCCATAAAGCATATTTTTTGGTGAATCTTGCGGATGTACTTTTGCATATCTTCCACTTTTTGATAAGCTTCGGCACGAATATTTTTATAGTACTTCTAAAATGTTTTTCCGAGCACGTGGGAATTTCTGATGCATTCAATTTGTTTAATATGTACTGCTTTACCCTTTCAATGCATGTAACAGTCGACATTTTAAAAAATTTATCGCTTTTTAGAACAGAAAAAAGTTAATTTCTAGTGATTGAGGGTAAATGTGGATCAACGTTGTCGCGACTGCCTGTAAACAAAATAACTTGTATCACACAGAGGACAGTAGGGGACGTAAATTTTTTTATGTTCTTAAAGATAAATGTCTTATCTAACTATAACAGAGAAAACGAGAGTGGAACTTGATGGAACTTTTTTGTAGTCCTTACACAAATTAGCCGTATACAAAAAAGAATGAATAAAATTAAGTCTACCAAAAGCTGTCGTTATTAATAGATAAAAAAAAATAAATACATTGCCAATACTTGAATAAAAAATACATATATGAAGCTTCACAGTTCATCTTGAAAAATTTCTTGAATAACAACAAATAAACAACAGCATGTACTCTTCCAACAAGTGTTTGCATGCTACTGTATGCATCAACCACACCTAAGACTGAATGCGCACTCTTTCTACCCATATTACTTTCTTATTTATCCGCGGTTCTCGGTGGCGTAACGCCAGATAAGAGCGCGAACATATATAGAACAATAGTGTGTGTGGACGAAACAGGTTTTTAAAATACAATTTTTTTTTTATTTTTGGCGCACTAAATAGGGATAATTGCCGTATGTGCACCGTTTCCGCTATCTTATTGGCGCTGATCGCTATTAACTGTTTGTTAACCTCCCCATAGTACTCAGAAACCGCTCCCATGAAAAATTTCTGGCTACGCCACTGGTATCAAGCAAATGACAACCGCGACTTCTCTGGTAGGATACAAACCAACATTATGATCACCGCTGAACACTTTCGATGTAATCCCACAAAAAAAGTCTAGCGGCGTTATATCGCAGGATCTAAGTGGCCAATTAACATTCCATTTCTTGAAAGAAGTCTACTTTGAAACTGCCTTTGTAATAAGTTCGTGTATTCTCTTGCTGTGTGAGATGTTGCACCATATTATTGGAACCATTTATTGTCAAGAACCGTATTCATTATTTCAGACAACAAAAGGTCTCTAAATATCGTGTGATAAGGCTCACGTAAAGATAACACCAGAAATGTGCTCAGTTGTGATCGAAAATTTTGATAAAAGACTTTGTGTCCTGCCAGAGAGACCATTTGCTCGATATTGTGTTTTACGTATAAGTATTAACGATTATGTTACCTATTGATATAAAGTATTAATTTTCTCGTTTTGTTTTCATTTAGTTTAATGAAAACATCATAAACCTCTTATTGGAACACCCTTTATAAGGAATTTAGACGTTCTCTGATGCAGTACAGAGTACAGACAAATATTGTATTAATGTTATAGGATGGTACTACCCACATTGTATGGTCCAGAGGATATACACATTTATATCAAGTAAACGCTATGAACATTTCTTCTACAGAAAATGATCATGGTATGGTTAGGGTAGAATTATTAAAAAATACCAACGCGAATTCTAAATTACCATCTTATGTAAAAGTATTGGATATTCTTGTTGATAAAGTTAAGGTGCCGTCAGAAGAAACAACTTATTGGTGCCGTGTTGTTAAGCTATCAGATGACTTTAAAAGAAAACATCATATATACCAGGTTAGTAGTGTAGAACCAAATACTGAATAATAGTTATTTATCGCCAACCGTCATTAAAGCCATACATTACCATAGTGACTTGCAGAAGTAAACAAACATTTTATCTCACTGCAAAAATCAAATATTTTATCTGCCGCTAATATTTATCAACAGCCGTGGCCGTCTGACAGAAATAGTGTGTAACTGATTTATTTTATATTCGCTGTTACTTTTCTGTTTGTTAACGTTGGCATTCTAAAATGTGATATTATAATATCTCCTTTTTTATAATTATTTACGGTTGGCGATAAAAGTTTGTATGGACCACGTCAGCAAAGTGTCTTTATCGAACTCGCCTGTTACTCGCCTCGCTCTGCTCATAATCTCAGACTAGTTCGATAGAGAATCACTTTGCTGATTTGGTACATAAATAACTATTAACGATAATCAAAAAAAATTATTTTTAATAAATAGTAGTTGACAGACTTTGTGTTTTCGTTCATCGTTAAATTATTAATAAAACAGCTATTTACATTGTCTTTTGTCTTTATTGATCTGACATAATCTTTTTATTTTAATGTCTTAGACACTCGTCATATCGTAACTATTTTTTGTAGTTTGAATCTCATATACAAGAAGCGAGCCAAGGGATTGTGCACCATATGGAAGTATTTCACTGTGAAGCACCCCCTGATGAAGATATTCCTCTTTATGATGGAAACTGTTTTGCTAAAGATAGGCCACCGAGAACTCAAGTTTGCAAACGAGTTTTAGCTGCTTGGGCCATGGGTGCACCACCATTTACTTATCCAAAAGTAATTTACTATTAATTTTATTTTTTTTTTATTTTCGTCAATAATATTAAGAGATAAAGGTGCCGAGTAGTTAACGTCTTAAACCATGATCAAACACAGCTCAGTAAAGTTCTTGACGACGTGGGACATCCACCAGTAGCGCGTTTTTCAACAATCATGATTTCTGAGTAGGTAGATGATAAAAAAGACCAAAATACTCAAACAATATAAAAGAGGTATTAGGTAGGTATACACTGATTGGTGCTACACGTATTACTGAAGTCTTGGAAATACCACAAATCCAATCGCTTTCTTTATTGTTTAAAATGTAAAATGGATGAAACAAAAAGTTACTTGCTTTGGGCACGTTGTAGAATAATTGCATCATGATATTATGTCATGTGTCATGTGGAAGTAACGAACATCAATTCAGTTAAAAAAAATGTCGTTTTTGAAAAATGTTAACAAGGAGATAGAACTGGGTAACTTTAGGCCTGTTGGCGCAACTTTTGTTTAGCCGAAATCTGTTATGCAAAAATTGTTATCATGATAACAATAAAATTGTCATGCTATCAGTAAACAAAAACCCAAATGAGAAAATGCGTAGTTGTCAAGTTGTAAATGATTACGATTTTTGTTTAATTTAATTTAGCTGAAATCAGTTATGCACAAAATGTTGCCATGGGCTTCTTATTTTACCGACTAAACAAAAACCCAAATCTCTTGGTGGAAAAATGCTTTGTTGCCAAGTTATAGATCATCTAATGTTTACTTAAGTTTAGCCGAAATCAGTTATGGAGAAACTGTTGCCATAGAAACGCTTGTCATGGTAACAACCAAACAAAGACCCCAAGCTCGTGGTGAGGAAATGCGTAGTTGCCAAGTTATAGATCATTTAATGTTCACCTTAGTTTAGCCAAAATCAGTTATGAAAAATAAGTTGCCATGGAAACGCATGTCATGTTAACGACTAAACAGAAATCCAAATCCTGTAGTGAGAAAATGCGTAGATGCCAAGTTAAAGATCATTTAATGTTCACTTTAGTTTAGCCAAAATCAGTTGTAAATGAACTGTTGTAACGGAAACGCTTGTCATGCTAACGACTAAACAAAAACCCAAATCCCGTATTGAGGAAATGCCTAGTTGCCAAGTTATAGATCATTTAATGTTCACTTTAGTTTAGCCGAAATCAGTTATGGAGAAACTGATGTCCTGGAATAGCTTGTCCTGCTCGAATAAACAAAAACCCAAATCTCGTGGTGAGGAAATGCGTTGTTGGCAAGTAGTGGTTAGTAAGTGGGTGGAAAAACCGCGCACAGGAATTTCGAAACGACGGCCGGGTGCGCTCACTTCGCTCGCTTTCCTATGTAGTAGTTAGGAAACGGGTGGGAGAAGAGTAGCGTGATCTTATGATGTAGATGGAAATTCGATATTCTCGCAAACGGCGAAATGGCGGTGGGTAGAAGGAGCGTAGCGTGATATTATGGAGAAACTATTGCCATGGAAACGCTTGTCATGCTAAAAATATTTTCAACAACTTTTAGAACCAGTTTTAATACTACGTCATACATTTTGAAAGCACTCAAATAAATTATTTTAAAACAGTGAGGTCACTGTTAAGTTAATAGATAATTTTTGCCTCATATGTCAAAGAGAACCTCATGTAATATTACCAGAGTTTTGTGAAAAATGGATCGTTATATTTGGTATCAGACTTTAACCAGTTATTTAGAATTACAAGTTCAAGTTTTCAAAAATTCTTAAACATTATATAAATTTGGTTAAGATGTGGCATCTGCACGTTTTTGAAGTCGGTTTTTTTTAAATTTTTAATTTGTAATACTTGTATTGTCTATGCTATCCTCTATGATGTTTGTTATTATTTTTGACATTAATGACATTTTTTGTATTTCCTCGAACCGTCCTTAATGAAACGTTTTAAAAACAGATGCAGCTGGTTTAATCCTAATTTAACGTGACGTCATTGTTTAGTCACTCGAATGGGAATAGTTCAAACCGTTTTCAAATAGCATGAAATATATTTAAACCAGTCGACCTCTCGAATATGGCTCTAAATCCCGTAGTGACAAAATGCCTAGTTGCCATGTTATATACGATTTCATATTTACTTTCGTTTAGGTTAGGATAAATTAGGAGATAATCTAAATATAAGAAGCAACTGCATTTCCTCACCACATGACAAGTGTTCCTATGGCAACAGTTTCTCCGTAACCAATTTCAGCTAAACTAAAGTGAAAATAAATGACCTGTAACTTGCCAACTATGCATTTCCTTACCACGGGATTTGGGGTTTTGTTAAGTCGTTTTCATGACAAGTGTCTCTATGGCAACAAGTCTCTGTAACTGATTTCAGCTAAATTAAATTATCTGTAACTTGGGAATCAAGCATTTCCTCACCACGGGATTTGGTTTTTGTTTAGTCGTTAGTCGTTATTATTTCAAGCGTTTCCATAGTAACAAATTCACCATGACTAAAGTGAACATTAAATGATCTATAACTTGGCAACTATGCATTTCCCTACCACAATATTTGGGTTTTTGTTTACTGGTTACCACGGCAACGGTTGACATGTCAACAGTTTTTACGTAACTGATTTTGTTTAAACGAAATTTGACCCTTTATTTTTAAGATTGCCAAGATTTATTGATGAACATAGCAAAAGGTTTGACAAAATTTCAAAGACCAAAGCAACTACAATACCAAGTTTCTCTTCATCTATGATCAGTACACCAAATAAATATTTATTTTTTATCCTTACTTTAAAACCAAATCCTAACTACAATACATAATATACAAACAAAAATTCGCAATATCCGACAATGTCATGCACATTGTCAAGTTAGTGTCAATATAAACTAAACATTTTTAAATCAGATTAATAGAATGTCATTATAATGACGTAAGAACCTTGACTTGATTACATTTCTAGTAAATGATTTAAAATTGACTCAACAAAAATCGAAGTATGTGCCTCAATATCACATACTTTGATTTGTAATCAAAGTATGTGCTCAATATACATACAACTAATTGACATTTAGTTCTACAAAAAGGTATTTTCCTTTGCATTGAAAGTGTAGCACTGAGATATGCAACTTCTGAAAATAACTATCCATCCATACAATTTATATAACGATGGCTTAAGTGCAAAACGTCCTAGCCCACAAAATTTCAAAAAATCGCTTTTCGCGTCATTGGAATCGTAGCTAAAAAATACGACTCCAATGACGCGAAAAGCTATTTTTTGAAATTTTGTGGGTTACGACGTTTTCCACTTAAGCCATCGATAAATGGAACGATATTTTCAAAATTGGCGTAGCTCAGTGCTTCACTTTCGTTGCAAAGGAAAATATATATTTTGTCCACTGCTGTCTATGTCTACTGTCTATCTAAAAACGACGTGTATCTTTATTAAACATCTGAGACGCATAGATGACGCTCTCGTTACTGCAGTCGTTGCGTTTCCTATCTCTGACCAAAACCTCATTGACAAGAGGTTTATCCAACAACGATGTTAGAACAATACATAAACCAGTCCAAAACTTATTGTTGACAATCTGTCGATGACTAGTAAGTGACAACTTGTCAGGTACTGGTCGGGGATTGGGACTCAACTCATTTTTTAAATTCAACAAACGCATTATTACAATAATAATCCACAAAATAAAATAAATGATCATGAACAAAAACTATGAAGACTAAGCTCGATTAACAAATACAAATCAGAACTGTCAGAGAGAATAGATACAAATAATATAATGGCAATCACGAAATGTTCAGTTAATTGCGGCTCAGCGCATGTCTTGACAATTCGTTCCTATTCAGACCCAGGAACTGATTTGACAGTACACAAATCGGTTTGTGATTAATTTTGGTTGGATTGGAACACTGTTTTTGTACAGTTTCGAGTCTAAGGTTTGTTGGAACACAAATTCTAGACTGCGCAGAATCCCGACAGTACACAAACTGATTTGGTTTATGTTGGAACAAACCTTTAATAGAACTTTTCCGTTATTGACGATCTCTATTACTCATGCGCAAGCTCTACTTCCTCTTAAAATTACTAAAATTTGTTGTTATTATGTTTCCTACCCTGAATTTCAATTACAGATGCACATATGTCATTTTGTTTTTGTGTTTGATAGTATTGGCACAGTTTATAGCTAAAGAATCAGTTCGCTCACTCTGCGTCGGCACTTTTGATCTCAATGTTCCAGTTTATACATTGCGCAACTCGGATTTGTATCCCTGGCGCATACGGAATCAAATCATAATAGCCCAAGAGCCCACTGTAAATTTTTACTGCCATCTGATAATGAAATAAAATATACCCCAAAAGCTTGTAAAAACATTGTACTTTACCGAATGGCACCTCTCACAATCCTAATCCTGAGCAAAGTGTTTAAAAAAATATTTTATATTAAAAAAATTACATAAGGCATGACAGCGCTAATTTTGTTTGCCCTTAAAGTTTTCCAGATAATGGGGTCTATTCTGTAACAATTCCTTTATATTTTACGGCCTTTAAAAATATTGGCGGCCTATAAAAATATGTTTGTATTCGTTAATTTACTTCTGTCATTGTTTAAACAGATTTCTTTAAGATAGTCCTCTAATGTATTTTAAAGATCCGTTTAAATAATGACAGAAGTAAAGAAGAAAATATTTTTAAAGGCCGTTAAATATAAAGGAATTGTTACAGAATAGATCCCAATAACATATTCAAATATATCTTGATATATATCGTTAACGGGAAACATTTTCTTCCTCTTAGCATCGCGCAAAAACATCTACACACGATTAGTAGGTAAAAATCATTAAAAATATGAATCAATTTTTGCTGATTTAAGAATTTATTTGTATGCCTATTGTTGTGATTCATTTTTACAGGTTGTCATAGAAACGACAAAAAAACTACTATGATTATAGTTTAAAAGAATTGTCTAACAAGAGTTTATAATTATTATTGACTATATCTGCCAAAGTTAGGTAAAAATATTAATAATTCAGGTTTAAAAGTTAGGTTCACAATGAATTAGGAAAGTAATTTTCAGAGAAAACACAATTATCGCTGTCTTGTCTTATGTAATTTTTTGAATATAAAATAAGTTTTTTTAACCACTGCTCTGGATTACAGATTGGCACAGGAGAATTTGGTAAAGTACAATGTTGTTACATGTCTTTGGAGCATATTTCATTTTGTTATCAGACGGCGGTCGTAATTTGCAGTGGGCTCTCTTACTATTACCAATTAAGCATTCCAACGACCTGTCAAACAATAGCTGTCAGTGAGAAGGTCTGGTATATCTAAGGTGGTAGAGACATAGACTTGCATCTTGAACGTTTTTTTTTTTTATTCGAAATAATAGTCACAAAGCCTGCCAATTTATGAAAAAATGTATCTTATTTTTATTGTGTTTGACATAAAATATTTAAATGTAATCCATTATTCATGATTTTTCGTATTGTAAACAGAAAACATTGTATGTTGCAACCCTTGGATATATCAAATCTTTCCACTGACAGTTCATTTGTTTGGAAGGCCTAATACAATATATGACAACCGCCTATATTCAAACAGCAGTCTTCTGCGCATCCTAAATTTGTATCCCTGGAGTGGATGTTATTTTGGAACATCCAATTGGTCCGAGTGAGCGAACTGATTCTTTTAAGCTATAAACTGTGGTATTGGTAGGGGAGCCAGTGGTACTTTTAGGTGTATTATTTTCGAAAGGCAAAATTACAAAAATATTGAACATTTTTACCTTGTAAAATATAGAAACAGTTTGCTGCAGTCCCTACAACAATGGAGCTCTCGGCGAAGACGTCTTAAAAAAGCCTATGTAGAAAATGTCGTAGAAGAACAAGTTTGAAACTTTTAGATACTATTTACATCAAAAGTTGTTAGAAAAAAGTTTGCTGTCACCTTCTTGAATTTCGGTTCACAGTACCTTCTTTCTAGCTGACAAGGCACCATTAATATTATTAATTTTATTTTCGAAACTTGAATGGTTTACACCAAGATGGCAGCAATTTTTATCTATTCCTATTTTCTATATTGGCGTTTTGAAGACGTAGTCATCGAACGCTCCATAGCTGGTGCGTCTACAGCAAAGTATTTCAATCTTCTACAAGGTAATAAATAACGATAAATTTATAATTTAGCCTTGTGCGAAAGTATCACTGGCTTCAAACTATCTAGATTCGATGACAGTTGTTTAAATTAACGATGACATAGGGTAATCGTCGTAGTCAACCCAATAATTGAACGGCGAGGATAAGAAGGAGAGCAAATAAGTTGTTTGGAAACTAACTAGATTTAATATTTCCGCACTTGTAATGGGAAACTGTTGATTAACGAGAGGTGGATTTTGAAAATAAAAAAATATTGCTATACATCCTTTAAGTTAGAAAATTTTTCATCAATATTTTCATAATTGTAGGTCTGTCTTTTTTGCACCAAAATTATAGATAAAATAATGTTTCTCTGAAAATATCAATATCCTTACATAATCTGTTTCCTTAACATAAAATAATTATTATTTCAATGAGTTTGTTAAAAATGTCGATAATAAACGCACATAATAATTGTCTTTGACAATAACGTTTTGTTTCATTAGGAAGCAGGTCTTCCTTTGGGAGGGAAGGACTTCAATCCTTACGTTATGTTAGAAGTACATTTTAACAATCCTGAACATAGAAGTGGTAAGTAAACATATTTCAAAAATTACGATAATCCAGTTGATATTTTCTTCCTGTCTTCAGTCCTCCACATTATCTCCGATAAAACTACGTTGTGTGCCTTTTTCACCTCAATCCCAGACAGCACAAATAGGTCCATTGGACGTCCATTCCATATACAATTTGGGATGTCTGGACGTCCAAAAATTAGTTTTTTCTGGACTTTCGACATCTAATTGACGTCCAATAAGTATACAAATGGCACACTTTTGACCATTCAGAGGACGTCCAATTCTAGATTATACTTGGACGTTGAATACTGGATATTCAAAAAACGTCTATTCCTTGATTATAATTCCATTGATATCACATCTCTACTTGTTTTTACACAACCTCAACTCACCACACACTATTTTATATCAATAATAATTTATTTATTATTTTCGCAACCCGCTATAGACCATTTATTATTATTATTTTTGATTAAAAATCGTTTGACCTGAGTAAGTATTGAACTCACGACACGCCCATTATCGTTCTAGGCTTTCAATCGCCAGACGACCTTGGCCAAGGAGTCACTTGGAAACTTTTTACTAAATATGGTTATAATAGAATAAGATTTCAAACATCTGCTGATAGAATGTAATGCGATAGATTGATTTAATTTGTCAATTTTTAATGACCAATAATATTAAAAACGAAGTGTATAAAATGAGGTAGGTTAAATAAATAATGACAGGATAGACGTCCACGAACGTCAAAATAATACTACACTTAAAATTATCGATATGCAACGTTCAAATTAATGATAATAAACGGACGTACACTGGATGTCCAAATACGAATATAAACTTGATATGAACCTTCTGGCCCTCAAATGGGTCTAGGACGTCCACTGGAATATGTGTTCTGTCTGGGATAAACACATGTACAACTTATTTTGATTCAGCTTGTATTTTTTCTTATGATTACAATCGCATATTTCATAGATATAAACCTACTCTTACATTTTATTTCGTATTTTGTTTATCTCTAGGTTATCTTCTCATTTGAATTTAATTTTGAGGTTAATTTTGTATTTATAAGACTGGATAAATTAGTCAACATGTTGTAATTTTACTAATTTACATTTTTGAATATTTTAGGCATTGTAGATAGCTCAGGTTTCCGATTACATGTTTCATCAAAATTGAAAGAAATGGATGCAGGTATAATAGAATTAGGATTAGAATATTCAGACAAAATGGCTATACCACCAGGTCAAAGTCAGTTTTCTTTAAGTGGCTATTGCACCAGTACTTGCACAGCAATGGTAATATAAATTCATATACCTATAATTCTTACAATCATAATATTAGAACATACTTAATACAATCATATTAATTGTTAAAAATATTTTAGAGTTTACCGCCAAATGGTATTACCATTTTTGGATCACAACTTCACACGCATTTAACTGGAATACGTATTAATACTAGGCATTTCGATGCTAATGGAAATGAATTACCTGAACTAAACAGAGATAATCATTATAGCACTCATTTCCAAGAAATACGTAGGTTGAAGAGGCCTGTAAAAGTGTTACCAGTAAGTGGAAAATTACAAATGTTTTTTATTCACTTTTTTAAGCAACAAATCGAGCATTGCATTATAAATAACTACAGTTCATCAAATTTCTAGAGGCTTTCGACGGCTAGACAGAGAAAGCACTACTGACAGGCATCCCGACGGATTTACGCAATGAAAGTACACTCTGCGCATCAAGTATTTCACTATTTCATTCAGACGTAAATGTCAGATGTAAATTTCGCTAAAACATTTCTTTTATTTTCGTTTGTGTTTTTTGCTCATTACAGTTTAATAGAACCTAAGTATGGAGTTTAATAGCAAATTAAGAGGCCGCGTGATTAACAGTCAATCTCGCGAAATAATAGTCAATGTTATAGAGTTTATGAGAAGAGAAGGAAACTTTAATTCACCTTCAATACCATTTAAAAATGTAAATGATCGTGTTGCTGCAGCCACAGGAGTATCTAAAAACACTGTCGTCCGCATTTCTGGAGAGAAAAAAAGAATCGATAACCGTGAGATATCGGAATTTTCATCACCAAGAAAAACCATTAAAAAACCAAAAACAGTTAATGATATAGATGAAGCTGCACAAGAATCAAATTTTATTTTTTTATTATTAGATAGCTATTTTTGTTTGAGTTGTGTTCATTTACAGGCTCAATTTTTTTCCGTTCCTCCTTTTTGATTTTATATGGGGTTTCAAGTTGTTTTTGACTTATTTCGACGTAAATCACAACAACACACTTTTTTAATAAAGCAAACAAGTGTTAAGAGGTATATGTACGTGTAAACTACAATTACAAAAAATTGATATGAAACCCATGAAACCACCAACAAAAATGTAAAGCTAGCTTCCGTACTAGAACATGGTGTCATTCGTCGAGATAATTTATCGTTTTGTTTAATAGATCAAGAAATGTAAATATTCCCCTGTTATTTTTTATAAAATTATAAGAGAAATAAATTTTTTTCTAAATAGTATAGTTTATTATTTTGTAGAAAAACAAAATTTCGAAAATTTTAGTAATGTTTTAGAAACAACCGTTATTAATAATAGGTACCATTTACCTTAATAAGGTAGAAATAAAATATAAACTATTTCCACGATTTACAAAGGCCTACAAAAAAATTATAGGTATTTTCCGCTATCCTATAAAATTTATATTTTCTGACTCAATTTCAAAAGGTTGAAGGAATTCCAAAACACCTTTTATGGCATAATAATTATTTTCAATTCTACATACTATCTTTAGCTGCTTTTAAAGACGTTCTAAGAAAGTCCAATCAGACCAATTTAATCCCTAAACTATTCCACACTTTTAAAATTTAATTACCTAAAAATATTAAAAAATATTTAAAATAACTTGTTTAGCAGACTGTACAATAGCTATCTTAGTCACACGTAGCGCGTTCTCTGTCTGGGCGTCGAACACCTCTAGAAATTTGATGAACTTGTATAATAGTAATTTATGTTATAAGGACGAAAAGTTAAGGTTTTCGGGCGACTACGAGAAGTTTGCCAGGCGAGACGTAGTCGAGCCTGGAAACTGGTAGGAGTCCGAAAATAAACTTTTCGTCCGTGTTTCATACATTATTTTTTATTCAAATGTGCTCATAGATATTAAAAAAAATAAATAAAATTAAATCCGAAATATTATTTCCAATTTTTCTTATAACTGAGATGGCTGTGAACGATAAGAATAACTAGGTACACGGTTCGTAGACGACACGATAGCCTCATCACGGTTGCTAGGGACGCAGTGACGTCACGGAATGAAAAATTGAGCTGACAGAAAATATTCTACTTGGGATCGTACATTAGTTTTTTTTAAAAATCTAATATTTTATTAATATTTTTATTTTTGGACTATATACCTGTGTTAGATTTTTAATAAAATCGGCAATTTGATTTTTTGAAGGACAAGCTACAAAACGGCATGGAAAAATCATGTAATGATTTCCATCAAATTTCAAATAAATTACTTTTTATTTAAATTATAAAGATAAATATTATTATGTGAATGGTTTATTTTATACATTTTGGGTTAGGATACGGCCTCCGAGCTGAATTCGGATCACACGCTGTTTATATCCCGAAATGTTTTGAAATATTGGCAAGCCTGAAGCCAGCCGTAGTGTTGTTGTTGTTGTTGTTGTTGTTGTTGTTGTTGTTGTTGTTGTTGTTGTTGTTGTTGTTGTTGTTGTTGTTGTTGTTGTTGTTGTTGTTGTTGTTGTTGTTGTTGTTGTTGTTGTTGTTGTTGTTGTTGTTGTTGTTGTTGTTGTTGTTGTTGTCGTCGTTGTTGTTGTTGTTGTTGTTGTTGTTGTTGTTGTTGTTGTTTTTGTTGTTTTTGTTGTTTTTGTTTGTTGTTGTTGTTGTTGTTGTTGTTGTTGTTGTTGTTGTTGTTGTTGTTGTTGTTGTTGTTGTTGTTGTTGTTGTTGTTGTTGTTGTTGTTGTTGTTGTTGTTGTTGTTGTTGTTGTTGTTGTTGTTGTTGTTGTTGTTGTTGTTGTTGTTGTCTTTTAATATTCATGAATTTCTGTAAATAGCATATATTTTCCTCACACGTCGTCATTATTTTTAAATTCGCGCCTATACAAACTCTACGCGTGACGTCATGCGCGTGCGGCCGTCCTGTTTTTGACACTGTTGATATCCTACCTTTTATTTTTCGATGGATAAACACAGTGATTAGCTGTGTAGATAGTCATTATTATATTATTACCTAAGAACGTATAGCAATATGTCAATGAGTACGTAGTATAGTGTGGGTATGTAGTATTTCGAAGAAGACGTAAAACTGTAGGTTTCTCGACCCAAGCCTTGTAGTCTCACACTGCAGCACAAACTGAATTTATTTGATATTAGAGGGAAATTATTGTCATGAATTCCCAATTATCTGGTAAATGGGAGCTTTTGGGTCAAAATTGGTCAGTCCTTCTTATTAGATAGACGTGGTGTCTCCATTTGCTTGATTTGGTGACCTTTGTTAGAATTAATACAGGTGTAGTTTGGTGTGTGTTTCTCATGGGAGATCAGATTCTTTAAGAAAATTTTCAACGTTGGACTACCAGACCGACGCTTCCCGACGACCATTATACACGGATAGACTACAATAGTTAGTAAAGTTACCAACTTTTGTGAGTCGTGGATTACGAGGGACCTGCTTTTAGAATTCTACGCAAACCTTAGTGACATTTTTGTATTAATTAAATGCTGACTATCATCTATTCTACGTGGTCATAAACTAAAATTTAAAAAAATAATTTCTTTCCAATCATATATTTAATGTATGGAATGATCTCAGTGAAAAAGTTGTTGGTGTCACAACAGTTAATATCTTTTAAAATAAATCACAACATTTTTATTCTCCTTTTAGTGTTCTATTCTTTTTTTCACTCTACTCTACTTGGTTCTAGTTTTTTATTTTGTTTTTAGGCTTATGTCCTCAGCCTTTATCAATGCATAATAATAAAAATATTTTAGGCATTTAATGGAATAGGCTTTAGCATTTTTCTTATTTAAGAAATATTGATAATGATTAATTTTAGGGACACTCGCTGATTACCAGATGTGACTATAACACAGACGATAGGGAAAATATAACTCTTGGAGGATTTAGTATTACAGATGAAATGTGTGTCAACTACATCCATTACTATCCACATTGTGAATTAGAAGTCTGTAAAAGTTCAATAAGTGATCAAGCATTGAAAACATTCTTCAGATATATGAATGAGTAAGTTAAAGAGTACAGCTTTTATAGATGCATAAATGATTTCAAGAATTCAAAAAATTAATAGGTTCACTTCACTAAATACAGAGTGTTTTAGAATAAAATACCATAAACTGGGGAATTTGTAGATCTTAACTAATTATTAAGAAGAGCTAAATATAATTTAATTGTAGGTGTCTCAGTTTTCATTCTACAGGGTGATAAATTGAATTTAATAAATACGTAATTTTCTAAATATCTTTTCTTACGGTAAAGACTTTAACTTAAAAATATATATATGTTAGTTAATCGTCATTATTAGTTAACATATGCTATTTAGATAAATTTCGTAACCCATTGGCGTAGACTTAAGGGCTAAGGAAACAATTTTAATCCAAACTTTTTGAACCGGTGTGAAGTTAGCAGCCAATTTCCAGCAGCCCGTTTACCGAATTACTAGTGGCGTCGAAATGTATTTTTCTGTGAATAAAAAAGTGTATTGAAATAAAATTATTACCAAATGTTTATAAACAAATAAAAAGTGTTTAGAGAATGAGTAAACTGAAATGAAAATCGTTTAAAAATTCATTAAACAATCAATTTTTCTATAAAGATAACAGAATATTGAAATAAAAATAGTGCCAAATTGTCAATAAATATAAAATGCAACATAAAAAAATAACAAAATCACTTAGGAAGGGGATGAGGGAGTCAAATTAAATAAAATTCCATTAAAAATCTATTTAAGTTGTATTTTATTGTTTTTAACAAATTTGGCACTAACTTTATTTCAATATCGGAATGTCTTCTGAGGCAAATTAATTTTTAAATAGATTTTTAATGGAATTTTATTTAAATTGACCCCTTACTAAGTGATTTTGGTAATTTTGTTAGGTTGTATTTTATAGTTTTTAACAATTTGGCACTAACTTTATTTCAATACCGGATTGTCTTCTTAGGCAAATTAATTTTTAAATAGATTTTTAATGGAATTTTATTTAATTTGACCCCCTCAGTCCCTTTCTAAGTGATTTTGTTAATTTGTTTAAGTTGTATTTTATAAAACAGTTTATTAATTAATAATTTTTTTAAACACTTATTTATTTATAACAATACTATTCTAATTTATATATATTTCGAATGTCTCTAAACTGTTCACGATTTATCTTTACTGTCCATATAATCACTGATACCGCGTTATTCTCCACCAATATTTATATACCAATTTAAAATTATGGTGAAGGTTCCTTCAGGTTCTAGAACGTTCTCGCCAAAAATTAGAAACACTATCACGTTATATTTGGAATAGACTAGAAATAGTATCCCGCTGACTCTGGAATGTTCGCGAAAGTACCTCCGCCATAGTCGTCACATGGGTTTGGTCTTAAGGGGTTTAATTATGTATAATAATCGGACAAGTTGAGCCTCAAAGGCCAAATAAGACAGAGAGGGACTTGGAGGGTTAGATAGAGCATGACTGAATATTGAAATGGTTCACATAACATTGCCCCCTCCTTAAGAGATAGTTTCTCCTGGAACTCTTACGAAACTAAACTGGAATGGTTGTATCTGCAACTGAATCCTCATTTACAATTTCCAGTTGCATGGAAGTAACAAGGGACTGTCTTCGCTGTAACTTGGGCACTGGACGAATGGCTGCAGACCAGTATTTGAACTCCGATATCTTGAAAGATTACTTCCACCATGTTCCTAATGATCCTCCAATCCAGCTGATTTCCTTCTATCTTCGGCATCGCTAGTTTCTGTACATTGGACTCCCGTACGTGCTCCCTTGGACTAAGTAATGCTTCCCATACATCCTGATAGGTGGATTGATCTCGGAAGGTGTTCTTCGTTATTAAATAGAAAAGATAACGCGACCCGTCTTGAAGTTTCAAGGCTTTTCCAGGGGCTGGTAACTGATATTGAAGTTCTACCAGTTACCAGTCGACCAAACTTCTTACGGAACACATATGCCAGTCCTCGCGCGTCGTTGATGCTGGCGGAAGTACTATGAACCAACGAGTAGTCTTTCGGAAGCGAGAGCAGATCTTGTTGTTGCTCGGTCGTCACACCATATCTGGCTTTTCCAGTACCTCCACACGCACCCATAAATTCTTCAAAGACAAGGTCAGGTGTTTTTCGAAGTTGGTTTACTTCTTCTTCATGGTCACCCTCAAATGGCGCTAACCTATTTTGATGCACTACCTTTGGTTTACCGTTTGGAATCTTATTTATACGGTAAATTACATCATTAATTTTATTCTTTATGAGGTACGGACCTTCCCAAGACCTTTGAAGCTTCGAAGAATAACCTTTTTGTCTTTTTTGGGTTATGGAGCCAGACTTTTTCACGTTCCTTGAAACATCCCTCCGTAGCTTGAGTATCGTACCGTTTCTTCATCCTGTCGCTGGCGATTTGGAGATGCGAGCGAACTAATTTATGCATGTCGTCTATTATTCTTCGTAACTGGATCACATAATCTTCACCAGTTACATCTTCTCCAGGTCGGCATCCAAACTCGAGGTCGCACGGTAGTCTCATCTCACGCCCAAACAAGACCTTTGCTGGTGTTTGGCCTGTTGATTCATTGACAGCGGATCTATAAGCCATTGCAAAGAGCGAAAGGTACTGATCCCAATCTCGCTGATGGTTTGAAACCACTTTCGATAGATATTTGCCAATGGTCTTATTCATTCGCTCTACCGTTCCATCGGATTGTGGGTGCAATGCTGTGGTTCTGGTCTTCTTCATGCCTAGTCTGTCACAGATTCCACGGAAAAGTTGACTTTCAAAATGTCTGCCTTGGTCACTGTGGATCTCCAAGGGCACTCTAAATCGACAGATAAACTCTTTTATCAATACATCTGCAACAGTTGCGGCCTCTTGATTTGGAATGGCATAGACTTCCACCCACTTTGTAAAATAATCCATAACCACCAAAATGTTTTTATTACCATCCTCGGTCGCGGGGTATGGTCCAGCAATATCTAAGGCGATCCTCTCAAATGGGCTACCAACGTTATATTGCTTCATGGGAGCCTTCCCTTTTCGTTGAGGTCCATTACTCATAGCACAGGTGGTACATTTCTTACACCAGTCCTTTACATCATCGGAACTGTTCATCCAGTAAAACCTTTCCCGAACTCTCTGAAGGGTTTTCCTAACACCGAAATGTCCTCCTGAGGGACTGTCGTGTAACTGACGGAGTACTTCAGCTACTCTACTTCTTGGAATGACCAACTGTCTTCTGTTCTCGGAACCATCATCATTTTCAAGTACCCGCTTTAATAAGCCGTCTTCCAGGATAAAGGAGTCCCACTGAGCCCAATATGATTTAACTACTGGAGAGAATTTCGATACTTCTTGCCAAGTAGGTCGACGATTTTCCTCTTTCCATTCTCGTATCTTCTTTAAAACGGGATTATTCTCTTGTTCTTCCCTAAGTTTGACAGGGGCCCACTCATGGCTGACAACCGACGTTTTTCGTACTGTAACTTCTTTAGCAGATGTGGCCAACGCCTTTCCAATCGGAGTTCCTTGATCAACACCTTTATTGCGCTTCGAAGGTTCCGCCATGACAGGCGTTGCCTTCTCTACAGTTCCTTGCAACCGCCTTACTCGTATTGTTTCACTACTTTCAGGTAACACCGTTCCTTCCTGTACAGCCACCGGCACGGTTTTTCGATTCGTAGTGTTCTTCGGACGTTTGCGCGAACTGCTTACTTTTCCCATTTGACCGCAATTCCAGCACCTAATAGTCTTCGGTTGCTTCTTAATAAGGCTTTTTATCATGTGAAACAATTGGTCCAATTTATTTCCCTGTTCTTCTTTTACAGTCCTTACTTCACTGTATCCACCAGAAGAAACGTAGCCGCTTCATATTCAAGAGCAGCGGACAAAACATCGACCAATGTTTTGTGACGGGCTAAACGAAGTGTTCTTTGCATTTCATGGTCACAAAGTCCATCTACAAATGCTTGAACAGCCAAAACATTCCATCATGTTTTCTGGAGCTGACGGGTAGGCAAATCGCACCATCTTCGCAATATCTAATTCAAATTCTTGAAGGCTCTCGTCAAGTTTCTGTTTGCGATTCTTCAACTGTAATCTGTATACCTGCTCCAAGTGTTCATGGCCATATCGCATGTTGTCTATTTTTCAGTTGTTCAAAATCATCTGTCTCTTCCACGGGTATAATCTGGACATTCAAAGCGTCTCCTCGAAGAGCGATGGTCAAATTTATTGCCTTCTCTCGTTCAGACAACTCGTTTGCTCTGGCAGCTGTTTCGAACTGCTTAAGGTAGTTCGTCCAAGACATCTTCCCGTCAAAAGTTGGGGCTTTAACACGAGGAGAGTTTACAGCTCCTTCCAATTTCAACTTCGACTCTACCTCATGGCACTTTATTTCACCGTTCTTGGTTTGGTCTCCGTGTTCCATTTCTTCTATCTTCTTTTCCATTTCTTTTACTTTTTTCTCTACAGAAGACATCCTGTTTTCCACATCAGCAGAGATTTCATTTTTTAGAGAAGACATATCAGAAGAAATTTCATCTTTCAATGAATAGATTTTGTTTTCCCAACGGAAGAAATTTCGGTTTTTAAAGAAGATATGTCAGAAGTCACCTTTTCTTCTAAGGAAGAAATATCGGACGAAACTTTACTTTCTAAGGAAGTAATATCATTTTTTATAGAGGAAACATCGGAAGAAACTTTAGTTTCCAAGGATGTAATGTCAGAAGAAACTTTAATTTCCAATAAAGAAATGTCAGAAGAAATATCGGTTTTTAAAGCAGACATATCGTTTTTCATATCGGAAAATGAAGAAATGATAGAAGACGCATCATCCGAAAATAGAAACGTTTTTGGATCCAAACCTTCACTTTCCAGTGCTTCTTTAAGCCGTTCTGCCAGCTCTGCTTTCTTTCCTGTCGTCTCCAGATCACGATCTTCTAACCCCCGACGTGGCTCGGTCACTTTTAATTCACACAGTCTTTTAGCCATTATTGTCTACTATTTATTT